AAATAATTTATTGTTTTATTTTTCTTAAATAATTTACTGATTAAAAAAATGTAAAGCAAAACCAAAAACCAAAAACCAAATCTAAAAACTAAAATCCTAAACCAAAAGCTGAAAACATGTTAAAACGCGCGTTAAAACGCGGGATTAGGTATCTCTATCTGAAATTTATCAAAAGCTGAATAACTATATTAAAATAGAGTCATTCTTTTTATCTACTGATACAAGTTGTCATTTAAATTTGGACCCTTTCTAGAATGTTACAAATAATATAAGTCATATAATTGATTGAACCGTATTACTTAAATTAAACCAACACAATTAATGTAAATAGACGACCTTAATGTAAACTACCTTCAAAATACGGCAGGTAACTATGTGTATACCAAAAACAAATATTTTCTCCTATAAATATGGAATGTTCTAAAAGAATATATATCATCAAAATATGGAATATGAAAATCTACTAATTATACTTAAATTAAACCATCGGTTAGTTATGGAATATAGTCTTGGGCTTACTTTTATTTTTTGAACAAATTATATAGTTTGGTTTTTTGGCTTAGTATTAAGAAAAAACTCCAAAAATATTGAATAAACTTTTCACCTTAAAAGATCAAAAAATCAATTATTATTTTCAGACCCAAAATGTATTTAATATTTTTAACAAAACAAAATTATCTATTATTAATCATTTATTTAAATCATGTACTTTAAAACATGTTAAAATAAATATCATCAAAATACGGAATATGAAAGTCTACTAATTATACTTAAATTAAACCAGCGGTTAGTTATGGAATATAGTCTTGGGCTTACTTTTATTTTTTAAACAAATTATATAGTTTGGGTTTTTGGCTTAGTATTAAGAAAAAACTCCAAAACATTGAATAAACTTTTCACCTTAAAAGATAAAAAAATCAATTATTATTTTCAGACCCAAAATGTATTTAATATTTTTAACAAAACAAAATTATCTATTATTAATCATTTATTTAAATCATGTACTTTAAAACATGTTAAAATAAATATCATCAAAATACGGAATATGGAAATCTACTAATTATACTTAAACTAAACCAGCGGTTAGTTATGGAATATAGTCTTGGGCTTACTTTTATTTTTTGAACAAATTATATAGTTTGGTTTTTTGGCTTAGTATTAAGAAAAAACTCCAAAAACATTGAATAAACTTTTCACCTTAAAAAATCAAAAAATCAATTATTATTTTTAGACCCAAAATGTATTTAATATTTTTAACAAAACAAAATTATCTATTATTAATCATTTATTTAAATCATGTACTTTAAAACATGTTAATATATTTTTTTATTTTAAATAACAATCACTTTGTTTTGATAAATTTCAATGGTAACTTTTAAATAATTTATTGTTTTATTTTTCTTAAATAATTTACTGATTAAAAAATGTAAAGCAAAACCAAAAACCAAATCTAAAAACTAAAATCCAAAACCAAAAGCTGAAAACATGTTAAAACGCGCGTTAAAACGCGGGATTAGGTATCTCTATCTGAAATTTATCAAAAGCTGAATGACTCTATTAAAATAGAGTCATTCTTTTTATCTACTGATACAAGTTGTCATTTAAATTTGGACCCTTTCTAGAATGTTACAAATAATATAAGTCATATAATTGATTGAACCGTATTACTTAAATTAAACCAACACAATTAATGTAAATAGACGACCTTAATGTAAACTACCTTCAAAATACGGCAGGTATCTATGTGTATACCAAAAACAAATATTTTCTCCTATAAATATGGAATGTTCTAAAAGAATATATATCATCAAAATATGGAATATGAAAATCTACTAATTATACTTAAATTAAACCAGCGGTTAGTTATGGAATATAGTCTTGCGCTTACTTTTATTTTTTGAACAAATTATATAGTTTGGTTTTTTGGCTTAGTATTAAGAAAAAACTCCAAAAATATTGAATAAACTTTTCACCTTAAAAGATCAAAAAATCAATTATTATTTTCAGACCCAAAATGTATTTAATATTTTTAACAAAACAAAATTATCTATTATTAATCATTTATTTAATTCATGTACTTTAAAACATGTTAATATATATTTTTATTTTAAATAAAAATCACTTTGTTTTGATAAATTTCAATGGTAACTTTTAAATAATTTATTGTTTTATTTTTCTTAAATAATTTACTGATTAAAAAAATGTAAAGCAAAACCAAAAACCAAATCTAAAAACTAAAATCCAAAACCAAAAGCTGAAAACACATGTTATATTTTTTTGCTTTATTTATTTACAAAATAAACTATTTCAAACTTAAAAAAAAAAAAATTTGTTATCATCTTTTCAGTTTTAAATTAGATGTTCAATTATTTGAGATTTGTTCGTTGGTAATATTAGTTCAAACTAACTCAGCGGGTTTATAAATTAAAAACCCAAACCAAAAACTGAAAATGAAAAGTAGAAACTTAAAAACTAAAAACCAAAATCCAAAATCTAAAAATAAAAACTGAAACTAAAAATAATCATCACCACAAATTTTGGTGAACTGATTTTATATCAAAATATTCTTTAAATTAAGACAAAACCCAATTATATAAATTTTTAATAATAAAAAAATTTCGTGCTTTCAAGCGCGGGTCAAAATTCAATTTTTCTCTAAAATAGAGAAATTCTATTGTAGAGGCATACATTGGAGTAAATCCACCTCTTGAGAAATATATAGAAGCCAACAAAACCGTAATGACAAATTATGAAAATTGAATGGAGATGAAGCAGTGACCAAAGTGACCGGAACCAGAGTATTTATCGGGTTCCGGTTATACCGGACCGGTTAAAAACCCTTTTTTCATTTCCATCCTTTTCATTCCCTTGACCTTTCTCTGAACACTCTCCGTCTCCCTTTCTTCCTCAATTGCATAAAAGAATCCTCAATAGTGATTCTCAATTTCGCTCTTGTTCTCGAATTTCACTATGCTAAGATGGAGAAGCCTCCTCTCATCATCTTCGGCGGCTACGAAAACCATTCTCGCTCCATTTCATTCGACCAGTGTTTTGTCTGAGAAATCGAGGAAACACTTTGGTTCCGTAAGATCTTTGAATTTGGGTCGTTCTCAGAAACTGTAATTAGATGTTTGATTCTTTCTTTCTTTCTTTTTCGCAGGATAGAGCTTCCAAGGGTGGTTCAACTTCTGACTCTTCAAAGGTATGTCTGAAAAGTTGTCAACTTTAACTATGGTTGATGCATTGATCTGATGATTTTTGATGCATTGCAACCAAATGGATTTTGCTAATTTGTATACTTTCATTTGAGGAGATGGGTGCTTGTTAGATGAGTTTTGGTAGAAATGTTAGCTGCATTGATAAGTTTATGTTCAAAACGTGGACTTGCTCTCTCCTGAATTTGATTTGATTTTGTGTTGTCTTATATCTATCCACACTCGTAATTAAGAAAGTTGTCCTCTGAAGCTGCATCTGTTAATCCCAGAACTCGTCCGTAAGGTTCACATGTACTGTAAAGGACAAGGGGCGTCGCACTGGTGCTAAAAAGACTCTTGACAATCTTCTCCACCACAGAGGACTTAACGATCCACTTCAGGTTGAACTTTTCTTCTTTCTTGGATAGCTTCAATACCTATCTTATATCATTGTATACATTGTTTGTCTCCCATAAAGGTCTGGTTTAGGCATTTAGGCACTAAAGCTAGCTCTAAGATGAGCTTAGGCATAGAGCTAGCTTCATTCTCATGCTAATATATTTCCATCTTATGATATTGTAACATTGTTTGTCTCACATTAGTGTGTATTCCTAAGCTTGTCTTTTCTTATAACGTAGAATGAGTGGAACTTTGGTCCAAATCCGCTTATCCGAGATAGGCATATGAAGAAAAAATCTCCTCCTGGCCGAGGAAAGAAGCCTCGTGATAAGAAAACAAAACGTGAGTTGCTTCCGTACTTTTTTTCTTAGTATCTCACAACTCTTGACTCTCTGTATATTTTGGATATATTAGGATGGCACAGAGAAGGAAACACCGACGATGACTTTGACACTGATGCTCCTAATAAATTTGACAAGAAATGGAGAGAAGCCTGGACGAATCATTCTCACAAGTCCTCCTCGTATTCTAGAGACTCGACATCTGGATTTCAATGGACAGAAGGGTGGAGCTGGACAACTCAGTCTCAAAGAAGCAAAACCTGGAGCCATGAGTCTTGTGAAGAGCCTCTCATCGTTGGGTCTCAGTCTGATAGGAATGCTCTGGGTCTACCTCTAGCCGGTCCCCTCAAACTAGAAGATGTTAAGAACGCGTAAGTCTTCCAACTGATCCCTCAAAATATGACAAAAAGAGTATTATTTCTCTAAAGTCTTTCTTGTTTTTGCAGCTACCATTCATCAGCTAAGATATGGCATCCGGATATGCATCAGGGGGCTTCTAAGGTAATGCTTTTAACCAAAGATTGGGATTGTTTTAGGTTTTTCTGAAGTGATGTGTGACAGATTGTTGTGATGGCAATTGTAGGCAGCAGCTCAAGAGAAGTTTAAACGCTGTGTTGATGCATACAATTCTCTCTGTTCTGCACTCTCTTGACGTTTACACGGAGAGGCATTGATACATCATTCTTTAGTAGGAGTTAAGAGTTTTGAAGTTTCTAAAGTTCTCATGATGATTTGATTATGAGAATACATACCTCTCTCAACCTTTCTCAGCATTTGATAAACAAAAAAAAAACAATAATATATGCAAGTGATTTATGTTCCTGAGCTGATAAATAATAATAATTTAAGAAAATGGATAACATAAAAATATCAGTTTCAAATCTCTAACTTTTTCTATCTTCTCTTTGTTATTTTAGTGCCTAGTCTAATACAAGGCTTGAACATACATCCAAACTCTGAAACTTTCTTCACACATATATATATATCATATCGTTAGGATTTCAAAAACTTTATCAACATTCTTGAATTAGCAAATGTTTGAAGTCACCTAACCACAGAGGCTACTTCACACTGGTGGAATAGCAAAGGTACCTCCTAGTGACCTGTGAATAGTCTCTGTGTCCTGCGTTGTTAGTATCTCTGGAATCGACATGCCACCAGAGATGACTATTTCTGTTGCAAGAAAAAAGTTGAAACTTTGAGATCAATTTGGTAAGATTTTGATGAAAAGTTTGCAAAAGTTACCTATGCCTTCACGGACTGAGAGGTTAGGTCTTATGATGTCCTTTGAGCTAATGAGGAAAATGTCTCCAAGATAAAGATGATTAGTGGGGACATAGACACAGCAAAGCTCCTCTCCTCCAGCACGGCTTCGAAGAATCACAGTGGATGTAATGAAACCAAAAGCGTATTCTCCCATATGAGGGTGTCTGATAATCGCCACCTCCTTGAATGCACCTGAGCTTTGTTCTGTACGAGAAAATTAGGGTAAGGATTAGGTAAGTAAAAGAATTACATAAAATTTACTGAGTTTAGAATTGACCAGGTGAGATAGCTCCGCTGATTTGTTTAGAAGCGGAGTAGATGTAGCTGATGAGAGGCATTTTCTTGATAAACCATTCACCAATGCTGAGAAGTGAAGCTCCAAGCCATGAAGACATGAATACACCAACCAGGAAGATGAATGTAATGGATGTCACAAACCCTAGACCGAACATGTTGATTCCGAGATGGGTATAGATTGGGGAGAAGAAACCATCAACGAAATGAATGAACCACCATGTGAAGTAAAATGTGACAGCTATTGGAAGAAGAATGACACTGTAATCCAAGAAAGTAATCAATCAAGTTGGAGTGATCCTTGAAGATGAAAGTGATTCAGAAACAAAGTAAGGGAGATAACGTTACCATCCAGTCATAAACTTTTTGGAGGCCCAGCTTCGGATGACTTTATAAACCGCCTGTTTGTTTTGTTACATTAACGGCATTGAATAACTTAACACACAAGTAACTAACTCGGAGCTCTAGGTCAAAAGCAATGATCATCTAAACTTGAGGAACAATAACACCATTTTATCCTAACAAGCGAAACTATATATATATGTAGTCGCTCTTATGTATTAGTGATTCGTAAGGAAATGAAGAAAAAAAAAAAGTAAAGATGGAGAGACCTCTCTTCCGGCAACGTGAATCGGAGAAGCAAGAGGAGATGGTGGAACAGAGAGAACGACCTCGCGAGGAGAAGCTCCTGATTTATTATGCATCGGAATCAGACGCTCCATATCTCTCTCCATCTCTCTCTCGCTACCCCCACAAATCTCAGTTTCTTGGTACTCAAATCTCTCTGAATCGCTTCGTCGATCTCTGATGTTTTTTCTCCGGCTTGTGTGTGAGAGCAACGAACTGCTAAGCATGCATTTTTGCTGTTATGGTGACTCTGCTACATTCTGGGCCTTTATTGGGCCGCATAATGAAGCCTAATATTTATGATACGTGGCAGAGACGATTCGACAGTTGATAGAGAGATGATTTGGTTTTACACCTCCTCCTACGTTACTTCCTTCCTTCCACAAACTAGCAAACCCATATAAATGAAATTTGATTTACACTAAAATAGAGTAGCTTTGTAACCTCTGTTATAATATAAACTAGATCTTGACCCGTGCACTGGCGCGGGTTTAACTTAATTTGGGAAAACATAATATACTCATAAGTTTCAGAAACTGTAATCATACTGAATGTAATAGGGCTGAAGTTTGGCTTTGGGTCCAGCTTTTATTGAATTCTTAATGTTCTTAGTTTTTTTTAGTTCTAGAGATATGTTTGATTATCTATATGAATTGATTTGCGTCCGGTTCGATTCTTTTGGTTTGATATGGATTTGGTAACAATTATAATAAATGACTAATATCAGATAAATTTTTGGTTTCAATATGATAACGGTTTGGTTACGATTTCTAGGGTTAATTTTAGATTAATGGGGGTAAAACTAATTTTGGGGGAGAAGAGGTGTTTCGGATAAATATCAAGTTACGAAAATAAAATTTTAATATTTGAGTTAAAACTATTCAAGTATTTTATGTTTTTATGATAATTTTAATAATGTAAAATACTTTAAATAAAAGATATTTGAGTATTAAATTATTTGAAATGTAAATTGTTATTATCTTAAAAACTAATGTTATTTTTAATTTAGTCAACAATAAATAAAATTGAATATAGTTTTTATATAAAATATAAACTAAAAACACAAATTATTATAATGGGTCAAATGATTAAAGCCAACCATAACATAAAATAAATTAAACAAAAGCCCAAGATAGATATTATAACAATGTTTAAAAGCCCAATTCTATTAAACTTATAGCCAAACAATATTAAACTTTTTATTACTACTATTTAAGTTTCCAAATAAACATAAAGAGTACTACAACTTTAATAAGATAGATTTTGTTTCAATGGTACTTTATTTTAGTGTAAATTTTGTTTCAATAATTTACTTTATAATAAAATTACTCTATTATAAAATAATATATAGAATAATATCATTATTTCACTTCAAATATACAGTGAAAAATGACATTTCTCTATATTTTACTCTATAATAAAATAACTCGATTATATAGTAAACCATTAGAGCAAAATTTACACTATAATAAAATTACTCTATTTTAAGATAAATTGTAGAAAAAAATTAGTGTACCATTAAAGATGCCTTAATACTAAAGAGAACCAGATGGAATGGAAAAGAAATACTATTTCTTATTGATGGTAAGAAAAATTTGGGTTATTAACGAATGCATAGATCTTTTCATTTTTTTGGTTACCAATTATAATCTAAGTGATGATGATTATCCGTAGAGAGAGTTTTCGTACCCGATTTAAATGAAAATTAAAATTTTCGTAATCACTTCCAATTTCTTTTTGTTTTGTGAAAACGGTGTCTCACGAACCCACCTAAGTCTACGAAGCCCACAAGGATCTCAAATAAAAAGACTGTCACCATGACAAGCATATTAGTCCTCAACTGGGAAATCAACCGAAGGTCCCTTGACGAAAACATATATCAACTAGTACAAAATTTAATTTCTATACATGAATTTTCAAAATTTAGTTTTAATATAACATTGGTTTAATTTTCGTTAGTCAAACGTTACGGATGATAAATTATCGTTAACCAATAAAAAGAAATCAATCAATTCTTATAACAACAGGGTCAACGGTCCTAATGAATATATAAATGCTTCACATGTATGAAAATATATATCAACTAATACAAAATTAAATATAAATACATGAAGTTTTTTTTTTATTTTAATATACGTTGATCTAATTTTCATTCATCAAACATTACCAAAAATAAATTGTCATGTGTTGATTAAATGAGATTTTTATTGTATTATGTGATAATTTAACTGTGTGGTAATTGGCTAAGAATAATAAATTATTTAGACCAAACAATTTCATTCTCGTGTAATTTATTAGTTAGTTTTTTTCTTTAATTTTTTTGTTCGTTGATTTTTTGGTTAAAACAAAATCAAACAGAAAGAAACGAGAATGTATAGCTTATCAGACATTCTACACACAAAAAATTATGCAAGTGAAATATAATTTTGAGATTATTACACTTTGTCAATTAAAATAATCTAAATATGCACACGAATTATGTTATTTTTCTAACAAACTAGAAATAATAAAATTGTATTGGCCTACACTTGTAAAAGTTGGGCCCACTAATGCTACGGTTAGTACGAGCCTCTTATTATACTGGGTTAGTAGGGGCTACGTCCATTACTGATTACTCCATGTCTTGGCAGATATTAGGGGTTGGATACCTCAAAAGGTTACTTAAGTGATAAGAATATGCACATGAGAGTATAAGTGGACAGTACGTTATCTTTTATCTGTCGACAGTGGACAGTACGTTATCTAGAAAGACAATTGGTCAAATTACATGATAAAAACGTAATTAATAATAACAAACAAAGAAGAAAAATAAAGATAAAGATAACCACCCAACCAGATCTTGATCCTTTTGAGAGATGTTTTTTTCTTTTTTCTTTTGTTCTTTGTGGTTGGTTATTTTGCTGTCATTCTCCTCTTGTTTGAGTGTTGGACAAGGACCCTATAATACAGTACGGGTCGAAAGATACCAACGTTGGCGTTGTAAACCAGTGATTACTTATACAATAAAGTTGAGCATCAAAAATCTAATTCCAGTTTTTGAGAACGAAAATGAAATCGGTTGAGTAGACTAGTCCGAAAGAGCATATCAAACTGTCTGACATGAATTTAGAATATCCGATTAATATTAAAGAGTTGACCAATAATCTATTATAAATCACATAAACCAAAGCCTAACTCAATATTAGCCAAATAACCCGGACTCGATAGTCCAGTGGTACCTGTCCCTCAACCTTGGGAGGTCAGCTGTTCGATTCGCAGGCGGGGAGGTGTGTCCAGGGCCTTAACCGGTACAGACGCATGCTGGCGCCGTGCACTAGGTGTTGGATTGGCCGAAGGCTGGTCAACACCTAGTTAATCAAAAAAAAAAAAAAATTAGCCAAATAGTAATAATTTAGTTCCAAATGAAATTGAATTCAGAACTGATGTAGGTATACATACATTATAAGTTTCAAACCATTGAAGCCTAGATCACGAGTATGTATGAAACTGCATCAAACACACTGATTTATTCACATAATAAGAGAGAGCGTTGAGCGCAGTTAATTAGTCTTCCTTTGACGGCTACGCAGTTTAAAACTTGATAAGTTCTATGTTTGTTGTGCACGGTACATTTATTTAGTTATATATATATATTAGCAAGGATATGTACATTTTATCCAAAAAGGGTATGTATGAATAGTCTTTTTACACAGTTATATTTCATATAATTTTTTGTATACAATTTATAGTATTTTTTAAAGCCACTAGCCAGGTATAATATTAGTTTTGTCTTGTGAAGAAACATGTAATATAGTTATATAACTATTAAACATATAATATAGTTATATAACTATTAAATTATAACACATTTTTTCTCCTTGACAATTTTCTAAATTATATATTTTTAAGATAACAAACCTTATTAGAATTAATAATAAATATACTTAAAAATATTATTTAGGGAGAAAATTTAAAAAATTATTGGAATAAAACACAATTTTATTTTATTTTACTTTATTATGGGAGAAAAAAATGATGTTAACCATTCGAAATACTATAAGAGAAATACATGTGTTGTCTTGCAACAGCGCAGTCTTCTTATAACTAAACAGACTAGCTCACCTATAGCAACTCTGAATTTGTTCTCTCTGCTTGCTTAAAGCCTGCCTCTTTGGCTCAGTTGAATCTTACATATTTGAATCTTTCTTTGATCATATTATTTCAGAATTAAGTATATAGTATGTCAATCCATATTCTTGGGTACACCACAAGAAAAGAAGAAATGGACGAACATACTCTGGATCAAAGGATACTCAAACGTATAATGGATCAAAATTTTGTTCTTATTTCTTTGAAAACATATTCTTAATTTTTATTTTATTTTAAAATCATTAATAGTTAGTCTCGATTATTCAATCGACAAAATTTGGGGTTAATTTTTTTACAAAAAGATAAATACTTTCTCATTGTTGAAGTGCCAAACAAGCATACCAATATCAGATTCACTTTTTATTACATTTGAAAATATAGTACTAAAAATAATGTCTACAAAGTTCTCCAAGAGTAATAACAATCGGATGCATGTAAGAAGTTTTTAGATGAAATACATATATAGAAGACAAGAGACCTTAAGATATGGGAAATATATTATATATTCAGACCAATATGACTTCTAGTAAAGATAGATACGATCGTAGACAATAATGTATGTTAACAACGACATTTTTTTTTGCTATAAGATAGATTACAGAGTTATCATTTATACGCACATATACATATTTCAGTAGAACAATTCATTTTGCTTTCTGTTAAAGATTTTTCTAGGCTTCCTGTTGATATTTACTACTATTATTCTTGTCTTGGCAAAACCATCATCTACTTTAGGAGAGGAACGAACTAAGTATATAACCCAAAATAGGGAACAAAAGAAAAAAAGAAAAAGAAGTAGCAGTTGAGTGTTTGATGTATCCAGTTGAGTTTATTCGTTTATGTACTTTTTCTGATTATTGCTTTAAAAAAATACTTTGAGTTGGAGTTTGCTTCTTTGACTGATCAATTGAATCTCTCGTTCCCCAAGCCAAAGAAAGAAACACAAGATGTTGCTTTTGATCATTGCCAAGAATCTCAC